GAAGAGCTGCCTCCTCAAAGCAAAGTTGACCTTAATGACGTGTATAGAATCAAGCTTTCAGGATCTTCATTTGCTGATGCGGCATGGCTCAAAGTGGGAAGGAACAGCTATAGACATCCGTTAATAATCGAAACATGGAATATACAAAGTATGTAAGTCAATAAATCCCTTTAATTTAAGCCAATTTCAGTTAAATGCACTGTTACTTACAAGTGAAAAAAAATCCTCAATAAATATCTTGTCTTGGGCCTCACGTAAGAATCCAAGAGCATATAGCATCAGTGTCGTCAGATTAGTGTTCTTAAATTCATTTAGCACCTCATCACTAAATTTAAAGTTGTCTTATTACATTCTAGATTCTTTGGGGTTTTATGTTCTAATTGATTGATTAATTCAACAACTGCTCATTATTAATATTAAGCGTTCACTATCCATAAGGCAGCGTGCTTGTTATTTGGGATATATCAGAAGCATAGTCCCAGGCCTGAGAGAGCTCAAGGTGCTAACTGAGGAGGAAGAGAAGAATATCAGGAAGATGTCCAGAAGTTATAACGGGAAATCAGAAAGAGGGTGAAGGAAGGACACCTCATTTGGCCTGGTGGCTGTTGGGTAGGAGTGGTGGGGAGGGAGGGGTAACTGTCATTAAAGACTCCTAAAAAGGGGTTTACTATTTTGTTTTTGTATGTTTGTCTGCTTTTTGGTGCCACAACTTTATTGGCAGCATGGTGAAGCCTGGGGATGCATTTCAGTACAATGTTTTTAAATGCATAAAATAAAATACTTTGTATTACAAATAAACAGTGTATTGAAATAGTTATCAGAATATTTAAAAAACAAATTTGTGATTAGTAATGTTTGTGATTCTTTATTAACACATTAAAGAACAAGATCTAGCAGTGGGCATAATTCTTAACATAATTTGAGTGTAAATAATATTTTGGGTTTTCTGTAGCAACTCTAATGTGATATGAAAATATCTGTGGTTTCTTTTGGTTGCAAAGTCACAGGTACTGCTAATACGATTGTGGTTTGTGGCCTATTTTCATAGTAGAAGGAGGTACTAAATTTTATTTAGAGGTTTAGTTAGATGAAATGTCTTGGACCTCTGAATTCTATGCGAAGTAAAAACCCTTGTGCTAAGAAGAAATACAGTTTGAACAGATCCTTGACAGACTGAAGGAGTTATCTAGGTGGATGAAATGGAAATGAGTTCTAGACATACGGAACAGTATGTGCAAAGGCATGGAGGCATGAGAGAGGATAAGCAACAGCTAACAGGTTAGACTGAAGACAGAATTTGGCAATGTGGTAGGATGTGAAGCTGGATTCTGTCTCTCCTGTATTTGAAATCTGTTGCAAACTTCCATTACTTAGCATATACAGTACAAGTTTCTTGTAGCTGCTCATTGTGATCTAGCTCCTGCCTTCCTAAGTCTCATTTGCTCCACTTTTCCTGTCAGATACTGTGCTCTGATGATTCTCAAATATCATACTATATTTATACATACCATTGTCTGTACCTTTACTTATTATCCAGATGATCCTTTATCTGTGTCTCAGTTTTCTCATTCATAAAATAGGGACAATAAATACCTCATAAAACTGTGAGGACTAAATCAAATAATTCCTGAAAAGTACTTGGAACAATGCCCAACACATGGTAAGCTACCAATAAATGACAGCTATTGTTACTGTTGTTATTATCATTATCACCTGTAATGTCTTTTGTCCAATCCGCCAACTGCTATAGGTTGTTTAAAACCCAGTGCAGATATTACCTCCTCTAGAAGGATTTCCTCATTACCTGACTTCCGTTTCTTCTGGATAGAATTAATAACTTCCTCATATATCCTATATTGGGATCTTACATCATTTCATTTCTTATATTTTTCACATTGGTATTGTAGTCATTGCAGTCTTACATTTCTATGCATCGTTCCCTATTAAACTGTATGTAAGCACTTAAAAGTAAGGGCTTACCTGTTGCCATTGAGTCTATTCTGAAGTAAGGGCTAGGTATTACTTTTTGTCCTTGGTATTTATTTATTTTGGTGAAAATATACACAGAGAAGCTTAGAGGCAGTGAGTTTATGTTAATGGTGGTGGAATATTTTGGAAAAAGATACCGAGAATGGTTGCACAACTTGAAGAATGTAATCAATTTCACTGAATTGTTCATAGAAATTGTTGAATTGGTGTATGTTTTGCTAGATATTGTTCTTTATGTCTATGGTGTTTTATTTTACTGGGGGCATATTTAGGAGTTTCTAAATTCATCCATGGGTGGTATACCCATTACCTGTTGCCGTGGAGTCGACTCCAACTCCGAGTAGAACTGCCACATAGGGCTTCCAACAAGCGCGTGGTGGATTCGAACTGCCAACCTTTTGGTTAGCAGCTGTAGCATGGGTGGTAGACACTAATAAAAAACCAAATCGGTTGCCATCAAGTTGATTCCGACTCACAGCGACCCTGTAGGACAGAGTAGAACTGCCCTATAGGGTTTCCAAGGAGCAGCTGGTGGATTCGAACTGCCAACCTTTTGGTTAGCAGCCAAGCTCTTAACCACTGCATCACCAGGGCTCTAGACACTAACAAGGTACTTTAAATTCTGAATTTCATGAGAAGGTATTTTACAAATATAATGGTAGAATATTTGGTGTAGGTTTTTTTTTAATAATAGGATGCTGGCTGGTCTTCCTATACATACTTTAAATACTGGTATTTTCAAGGTTTTGTTCTAGACTAAAACCAAAAACCAAACCTGTTGCCATCAAGTCAAGTAGAACGGCCCCATAGAGCTTCCAAGGAGAACCTGGAGGATTCAAACTGACAACCTTTTGGTTAGCAGCTATAGATAGCACTTAACCACACCACCAGGGAGGGTTTCTCAATCTACATGTTTCCTTCAGGAAAGTCAACCACTTCTGGAACATCAATTAATGTGTAATGATAACTTCTGACTCTAGCTTCAACCCAGATGTTTGTCTCCTAAGGTTCATTTCCAAATACTCAAAATGTATACTATCTAACTTCCTCTGGATGAGCAACAAGAATCTGAAACTCACGCTACCAAAATTGAACTCATTAACTCTTAAACCTTTTCCAGCCCTCCTCTTACTAATTTGGTTCATTTGCTCATTAGCTCTTACGTGAATTACTGCATATTTCTTTTAAAAATTAACCTATTTTTTTTCTGTTTAATAAAATGTAATACTTACTGTTTGTAAAAACGAATTCCAGCAAAGCAGGGAATGTGATTTAGCAATTTCATCTTCCAGAGATAACCACTGTTAACTCCACGTGATGTATATTCTACCAGACTTTTGTATGCATATATTAATACACTGATTATTTTTATTCAATTATGCAGCAGTCTCTTAGTGTAATTCCTTGTATCCTTGATACATACCCAGAGTTAGTGACTTTTCTAAAAGGCCAATCTCATCATACTATTCTTTTGCTTAAAAACCCTAGAAGGTTATCCATTTTTTACAGGATAAAGTCTAAACGTAAAATGACATATGAAGTCCTGCATGAACTGGTCCGTTCCTATCACTCTAGCCCTGGAATCAGATAGACTTGTCTTTGCCACATTCCAGCTTTGAGGCATTGGGCAAGTTTTTTTCCCTGTCAAGTGAATATAAAAATAATACCTATCGCAAGGAGGTAACAGCACACAGAAGTGCCAAGAACACTGCCTGGCTTAGTTAGAGTTAACAATGAATATTACACATTGTGGAAGAACAAAATGTTGTATACATGTGTTCAATCACTACTGCTTTCTGAGAAGGTTCATTTAAAGTGCTGATTTGGTGCTGATGGAACATGATTGGATGCCCCCTCACCCTTGCCCATCCACCCAAAAGAAAAAGATCGAGAAAGTATGAAAGGAAGAAAGACCAAAAGATTGAATAGATTGGGAAGAAGATGGGAGGTGAAAACCTGAGTGACAAGACAGGATGAAGAGAAGGCAGTTCCCACAGATTTTTTTTTTTTTTTCTTTTTGCGGAGGGAGATAAAGTTTGAAGAAAGAAGAGATTTGAGAGAAGCTATCTAGTAAATGGGCCTTAAGAATAAATGGGTGAAGATCTTTAAGACATTTTGCTAAATACTCCTCCCTCTCTCCCACAGTCCTTGCAGCTTTAATTACTTTGTCAAGCTATATGCATGTTAGATTTATGTTTCTTTATAATTTAATACTGGATTGAGGTTAGCTATTCAGTGCTCCAGTGATATTCCAGTCACACGATTATTTGCCTTCTGTGAGCGCATACTCCCCCACATCTTTAACTCTGACGTTCGTTCGAAATTGATTCATTCAGTGAGAATATTTGACTGCCCTCTTCTCCCCATGTCTGCTTAACAGCCCATCGTTTTCCAAGGTCAACCCCTTAACTCTTCTATAATGACTTTTCTGACATACCAACACTAAAATTTACCCCTTCCCCTCCTTTTTTGGTGCAACCTAGCTGCCTGCATCCACTTCATTCGTCGTGCAGTTAAATACTGTACCCAATTGTTTGACTGTCTTTTTTCCTCTACTGACTGCTTGAAATAACGGGTGGCGTTTTTATAAATCTACTAGCTCAGTGTATGGCACGAAGTAGATGCTTAGTGAATATTTATTGAATGAGTGTCCCGTGAATTTCAGTGACATCACATCCTGCATGCAGTGGCGTCATTCTGCACTGGGAGGCCCAGAGGCCAGGTTTAAATCATTGTTTATAACGTGCACCGAATATCTCCAACGCAACCTAAGCTTTCAGACCGCCTACCGGAAACGCAGGCACCGGGAGGGTTGGATCTCCGTACTTAAAACTGTCTTCTAGAATGGAGACTCCAGTTCGGGGCGGAAGCTCACAGCCTACGACGGGCCGGCAGTCAGTTGCTATCTGGGACTAGAAGGAGCGAGAGTGGGGAGCCCGGCAGCTCAGTTATCGCGGTGTTTCCGTACCACCCTCCCGCCCCCACCGACCCCGGAACTCTCGCGAGAGGAGCGAGGAGAAGATGGCCGTGGCCTGTTTTTCGGTATGAGGCAGTAGTGGTGGCGGCGGCGGCAGGGACTAGTATCCTGGTGTCGGGGGCACTTGAAGCTCTAGCTCCACCCAGCGAGCGCGCGTCCCTTCGTGCCTAGGCGAGAGCCGGCTCTTCTTCCTCTGGGAGATGCGTTTGTCCCGGGCTAGGGGACGCTCTGGGAGTTCATGCTGCGCTGGAGGCTCCTGGCCGCCGCTCTAATCGTCTTGTGCCGCCGTAGCGCCAGCTTGGTCTCCGGCGGCGAGCCTCCCGGATACTCCCCCGGCCCCTGGCGGAGGCGATGACCGGGGAGAAAATCCGCTCATTGCGGAGGGACCACAAGCCCAGCAAAGAAGAGGAGGGGGACCTACTTGAGGCCGGGGATGAGGAAGCGGCGGCTGCCCTCGGCGGCACCTTTACGGGAGGCAGGATTGGCACAGGCGGCAGCGGCAAGGGCGGTAAAGCCTGTCATAAGATCTTCAGTAACCATCACCACCGGCTACAGTTGAAGGCCGTTCCGGCCTCTTCCAATCCCCCCGGCGCCCCGGCTTTGCCGCTGCACAATTCCTCCTTGACTACCACCTCCCAGTCTCCGGCTGCTCTAACGGGCACCAATTCCATTGCTGTCGTCGCAGATGGAGGTGGTTGTCCCGCACACTACCCAGTGCACGAGTGCGTCTTCAAGGGGGATGTGAGGAGGTTGTCCTCTCTCATTCGGACTCACAATATCGGGCAGAAAGATAATCACGGTGAGGAGCTCGCCCCTCTCCACTTCTCCTTCCTCCAGCCTAGTGTGTGCTCACCCAGGCCTCTGGTATCCTAGGTTCCCCTCCAACAGACCCTTCTTTCCTTCACTTTGTCCGTGATCCGGGCCAAATGCCGGATCTTGACCGATACAATAATAGCATGGTAGTGGTTGGGGGGGTTGATTGCTGTGGGTGCAAAGAAATGTTTTTCTTCTTGTCCACTTGAAAGTTTCCTGTGAGCAGCTGTTTTGTTTATATCTTTGAGACAGGCCTTCAATGTGCTAATTCTCTACTGTAGGAAATTTTAGTTTACCTCTTATCCAACCATGGAAACCCTGGTGGCATAGGGATTAAGAGCTATGGCTGCGGTCAGCGGTTCGAATCAACCAGGCGCTCCTTGGAAACCCTACGAGGCAGTTCTACTCTGTCCTCTTGGGTCGCTATAGTCGGAGTCGACTTGAGGGCAGTGGGTTTGGGTTTTTTTTTTTTTTTTTTTTGGTTTTCTTATCCAACTTAGCTTTCTTCCTTTGTCTATTGAACTGTTTATCTTCATGTCCCTCCTCCCACCCAGGGATCTTTAATTTTGAGTGCATACATTGCCCTCTTTCCTTCATTGCTCAGGCTCAGATCCCAACATGACTGCAACTGGTTGTGAATTCTACCTGCCATCAGGTTGTCTGTTTCTTTGCTTGCAGGAAACTTAGGTTGATACAAAGTGCCTACAATTTTCATTTAAGGTGAATTATAGGATGCTTCGATTTCTGAAAGACGCACAGTAGAAGTTTGTTGGCGTTTGATATCTAGGACAACTAAAGTGATTTCTGAGTAGCTAAATTTTTGTTGAAGTAGAGTTTTGAGTTTTTGCTGGTTTTGGGTAGTTAATTGCTAGTAGTAATGTCTTGATGACTATGACTATAGATAGTAACTTCATAATCTGTATGATAAAGTATAGTATCATTTGCTATTGAAGGACTATGTTTCTACTTTTTGCTTTTTTGCGTTATCTTATCAGCTGATTTTTTTCTCTGATTCTAATAACCTGATCAGGTTGGCTTTTAAGAAACAGTAAACTGATTAATTAATGAAAATTAATTTGAATATACAACTTATTTTCAATATTTAATAGGCCATGTTAAACTGAGTAGTTGACAGATATTGTTGATAGCTGTGCTTTCTAACATAATTATTGTATACATTCATTTAAAACTCTGTGTTCAAAATGATGTAAAAACATTGATTGAAATACTTGCCTGTGGAATAAGCTCCCTTAATTCCCTTGGATTCTAGGTTCTTCATATACAAAATTAGGACGGAAATTGAAATTTATAAATTGAGTAAGGTTCTTATCGGTTATATAATTATTTAACAACTACTCCTGTTTTCTGAATTTACAATATTGTAATAATTGTAATACCTGCCATTTATTGTTATTCCCTCCAAAGTTCCTCAAAGCTCCACACAATTTTTCATCTACTTTTAATTTGTTTCAGCATCTACTTTTGTCATAATAAGAATAACATTTATTGATGGTAATTATATTCTAACCTTTGAGAAGCAGTCGTCAATGGGACGTGTGTTGTAGCCTCCAGTTATTAGTCAGTTATTAGGAAGTTTTTCCATTTTGTCTGCATAGTAGCTATATATTTTATTTTATGGCCATTGCTTTTAAAATGTAGAGTTATATTACCTTGAAATATCCCTGAAAACAGTCAGAATGCTCCTTTTGAGAGTAACTCCCTTTAAAAGATGAGATGAGTGAATATGACTGACAAAGTACTAATGGGAAAGTAGGTTAGAACTGATTTTCTTGGCTGATTGCAGAGGGTGCTGAATTGCAGGATTAAAGGGCTTTCCATGTTTGTTAATCCATGGAATACATGTGTTAAAGAAGAATTTCTGTTCAATGTAATTAGAATCTTAAATGTTTTCAGTTCTCTGAAATTCACTTGTTTAAATGACTTTGATGTACCAAATGTATACGTTGTCTTTAGCTGCCCTTATATTGCTGATATTTCTCATGAATGTAGCCAGTGGTTCACATACATGTGGAAAGTGTAATTGGGTTTTCCCCCTCAGTATATATTCTCCTCTCCTACAGCGAAGTCTCCTGTGAAGAATAGTTTCCATTGCATGTGCTGCTTCTTTAGTCTCCTCTTTTCTCCTATAGGAGCCCTGGTGGCGCAGTGGTTAAGAGCTTGGTTGCTAACCAAAAAGGTCAGCATTTCCAATTCATCAGCCAGCTCCTTGGAAACCCTATGGGGCAGTTCTCCTCTGTCCTGTAGAATTGCTGTGAGTCGGAATCGACTGGATTGGATGGCAATGGGTTTGGTTTTTTTGGTTTTTCCCCCTATAGGTGCCCTGGTGGCGCAGTGGTTAAACCAGTCGACTGTTAACCAAAAGGTCAGTGGTTCGAACATACCAGCTGCTTGTGGGAGAAAGATGTGGCAGTCTGCTTCCATAAAGATTTACATCCTTGGAAACCCTGTGGGGCAGTTCTACTCTGTACTGTAGGGTCTCTATGAGACTCAACTCGACAGCAGTGGGTTTGGTTTGTTTTTTTCCCCCATAGCTTCATATTTTCCCCATAACATTACTTTTACTCCTGATATTTTACTAACTTGGATGCGTTATTTAGATTTTTTAGGATATTTTTCCTTTCAAATTACAAAAGACACACGTTTTTAAATCACCCAAACGAAAGCAGGTTACATATTATATTTGGATTGTTGTAACTTGCTAGGTTCATAGCAGAATCATACACTCATACAGGTACATAACAGCCATGTAATCATACCACATCATATCACATAGTTTTATATTCACTGTAGAAATTCTTTCTATAGCATGATGATGTGTCATTATACCTAAACAAAAAAAACAAAACAAAACTCATTGCCCTCAAGTCAATTCTGACTCATAGTGACTCTAAAGGACAGACTAGAACTGCCCCATAGGGTTTCCAACGCTGTGATCTTTACAGAAGCAGACTGCTACCTCCTTCTCCCGTGAGGTATCATTATAGATATAATTTATTGAATGTGTTGCATTATGCTAAGTGTTTATATACATTATCCCATTTAATGCTTGCAACAGCCCTGCAAAGCAGGTGGTTTTTAGTCATCTTCATTAAAGACAAAGAAAGTAAACCCCAGAGACAAGTAAACTTTGCTAAAGTTGTATATTTAGTATAAGTGGCCAAACTAGGACTTGAATAATGGCTAGGACTCCAAAGCCCATGATCAGCCTCTTCGTGAATATTTCTACTGATGAGGAACTACTTTATTGCGAGGAGGTCAATTCTAATGTTGTATATATGATGATTTACAGAAAACAAGGTTCTTTTATATGTATTTTCTTATTAGTCCTTACATTAGCCTTGTAGAGAGATTCTGTCATTGAACAGCTATCCATTTTCTGTAGACCCTGAATCTCACACTCTTTTTTGTTCTATTTCTGTTTTATGTAATGGCATGAATAAGTGGGCTACCTAGTCCACATAATAGTCCCTTAGATATTTTACAACAGCTAGCATGTTCTGCTTATCTCCAAATTAAACATTTCTAACTTCCGTATCCATTCTTCATATGACATGGTTTATAAAGGGCTTAGAATGTTTTGGAGAGCGTAGTAAGTACTATATAGTGTGTTAAATAAATAGTATGAAAATCTTAATCTCCTTTCAGTAAAATTCTTAGTTTGTCAATTCTTTGCTTTGTTGGATGTGTCCAGAACTAACCTTAGGGCTCAAGCTGTACAGTAGCTTCATAAGCAAAGACAACAAGGACACTATATTCATTTATGTAAAGTAGCACATGTTTAGTAAAACAGTACAAGAGAATGCTAATGTTTTCATATTTTTTTTTCAAATGATAGATTGTCTTTCCATTCTATCCCTTTTTGCATTTATTTTTTAACCTATTGTAAACTATTTTTCAAAATAGGACTTTACATTTAGTAAATTTTATCTTGTTGAATTTTAATCTTTCGTTTCACCTACCTTGAGAGTTTATTGAATCCTAATCTGGCTACTATTAAATTCACTGTTCACTAGCTCTTTCAGTTTTCAGTGATCTGTGACTTGAAAAATCTGTGTATGTGTTTGCAAATTACTGATTTCAGTTGAATAGGAGCAAGGATAGGGCTTTTTCTTTCATGAGTAGGAATTTCTTTTTTTCAGTCATCAGTTATTTTGAGAAGTGTTGTATCCTGGGTGCAAACACACCTCCCGAAATGTAATTTAAATACGTTAACAGCCTGCTATAACATGGATTTACTATGTTCACGTATACCAAATGATTGTGATTCATTGTTTATTTAATAACCAATTCTCTTCAAAGATGGTGAAAAGGGAATATTACATAAAATGCACACAGGTTTATTAAGCTTTGTATCTTTAATACATCTTTAGTTATGTACCTTTTTTTCCCCTGTAGTTTAGTAATTGAAGTTTGAGTATAAACCTTTTTTTCATATTCATAATATAAAAGTTTTTTTATGAATCAGTTTGCTGTTGGTGGTTAGGCATCATGATGACATGCCATTTTTTAATAATTGGTACTAATTATTTTTACTTTAGGATTGAGTATGGTTATGAAGCATATAAAACACACTGTTGGTTTTTACTGCACTTTCTATTTTTTAGTCTTGTAATTTGTTTTTTTCCTTAATTGAGTTAAATATCCTTAGAGGTTAAGTAGCATCTTTTGGACATTAGTTAGAAGCTTTTAGGTGCTGGAGTGATGATACTCCTTCTTGATGTATGAATTGCTCAAACCAGTCTTTCTTAGATGTGAAAAATTTCTGATCTATTCTGAAAGATTTGGCAGTTTCTGCTGCCTTTGATTACATTGCCTGGCATGTAACAAGCCATCTTCTGCATATGTAGTTACTTTTTCATTTTTACTGAAACTTCTTGAAGCTATTTCTTAAAATGATTAGAGATTTCAAATTTAAGTTAAATTCAATGGAGAGTATTCCTGCCAATGCAGATGACTCAATGAAGT